TGATAAAAAAGATGATCGATTTTTCGATAATTTCGTTGTCAATTTAAGTGTTTACATTGCCAGCTTCTTTTGATGATATCAACAAGATCAAACGGTCAACCATTTCCGTGGTTTAATATAAATACTTTAACGCCAAAGCCATGCATTTCTTTAACTCGATCTTCTTCAGGAAGTTTTGCTAGAAACCTTAATTTATTTATGTGCTTGGTAAAACCTTCTATATTAACCATTATATTGCTAACGGCTTTAAAGTAAAGCCAGGCGATAATACCCTATCGAAACCCGTTATATAACCTAGTAATTTTATCTTCATTACTTGAATATGAAATTTCCTCAGCATTATCCAAATCGCCAGTTTGTATTTTTACAAACATTTTTTCAGTTTATCTGTTGAAGCATTTCTGTTGTAGAAAACTTTTAAAATGAAGGTTATTTGCTGACATTATGCATATGCGAAGACCACAACTTACGGACGCAATGAGGAACTTAGATATTATAGCAGATACTTTATCTTGATGATTTTCTCGACAAACAAAAGCAATTTGAAATCCCGCTAAAAGTATTGCCTGAGCTTAATAAGGAAAATCTAGATTTGATAATACGATCAGATCTAATAAACGCACAAACTTATGGAGGAAAAACACAGGAAAGAAACCGAATAAACGACAATCATGATTAGGAAGAAATTGACAGTTACATGATAGTTTCTCAAAACGAAAAAAATTTAAAGAATTTCAGTATGTATTACGACGACAAACAAAACCTAGTTAAAGTCGTTAGTATATCAGCGGATACAGAGTTAATAATCAAAGCGTACTTGAACGCAATTTCACCAATGATACACGAAAAACATAAATTTGATCCGATTATTGTTAACAAATCTCTAGCGATAATCAAAACTCTTGACGAGGAAATTGATAATTTCAATGATATTGAGCGAGAAAAGTTTTTAAGGAAGTCGAATCCACAATTTTTAAGGAAAGCTTGATTTTTACAGTGTAGAATATGATGTTCCATACTAAATCTCTGTAGACAATTGTCAATACAAGATTAGTACCCTAAAGTTGGGAAAATGCTCACAATATCATGTAAAATTTGATGTTAAAAGTAGGTTTTAACGTTGGTCTTTTCCGAATTAATAGAGACAAACTCAGAAAAGTAATACTAACAAATATCATAGTCGCATATGCAATTATAAGACAATATGATGTCCTCAAAAGATTTACGTTGGATCAAGTAAGCTGGGTACTCTGGTTTATCAATGAAACAGAAAGAGGATCCAGTGATTTGGTAAATGGAACAGATCTGTATAAACGTTAAGCAGAAAATACATTCAATTCCAACAGCTGATTAAAGAAAACTGAGGTATTAAGAGATGAGTGAAATAAAGATGCTTCCTCAGATATTTATGACACGTATAGAGGTTTTATAAGAAGAGGAAAGAAGACTCCAGCTCTTTGTTTTGCAAGTTGAAAAATCAAGACCATGTGTCCTTGACTTGCCGATGATCTTTAGCAGATTGATTAGGCACGGAAGACTGCCGTAATTGACAGCGAACTCTCCCGACTGAACGTCGACAATGCCTGCTTTCAGGAGACAAGTCTGGCTGACTGAGGCACCCTCAGGAAAACCAACTACACCTACTTTTGGCATAAAAGTCCTCCGACGAACCTAGACGACAGCATGGTATAGACTTTGCTGTAATGAACACGCTCATCGCCTTCATTGAGCCTACATCATCAGGCACTGAGAGGATCCTTGCTGTCAAGATCCTCAGGCCTAGTTCGCATATTGAGCGTGTATGCTCCAACCCTCTATTCCACCCCATAGGAGAAAGACCAGTTCTATGAGGCTTTGGATTAATCAATATCCAGTATCCCAACACTGTAGGCCTCTGCCTTTTAAGAGACTTCAATGCTAGAGTGGGAGCTGACCACGAGGCCTGTCCCACCTGTCTCGGCTCTCATGGAAGGGGCAAGATCAATGAGAACGGTTAGCGACTGCTGGAGATGCGCTGCTCACACAGCTTATGCGTGACCAACACCTAGTTCAAATGCAAAGAAATCCACCAGGTGTCATGTTCCAATGTTCCAGTCACTGGCACCAGCTAGACCTAGTCATCGCCAGGCGTGCGGAACTAGACTGTGTCCTCCTCACACGCAGATACCACAGCGCCGACTGCGACACGGACCACTGTCAGATGTCCAGCAAGGTGCGGCTAATCCCCAAGAAGCATCACCACGCCAAGAAGAAAGGTCGTTCACGTATAAATACATGAAGTGTAAGCAAACCAGATAAGAAGAAGCAGTTAATCAGCAAGCTTCAGGAGGCTCTCATCAAAGAGACACCTGATCACACCTTCAACTCCATGTTACAAGTATTATAATAGAATACTTAGGGTAATATCATATTTACCACTGCTTATGACTGGCTCTGGTATAATCTCAAGTGGAGCATCATTAAACCCGTTAATAATATCCGGTGTTGGTGTTTCTCTTGCAACAGCGTGTAAAGGAAATTGTGCCTCGACTTAAGACAAAAACAAATGCTTGCACAATAGTAAGTATCACTTATAAAAATTACTTGATCAGATACGGTTTTATCTGCGCGGTGTAAAATACAATATGGGCAATTTAATACACAAAGTCACATTATACGGACATCAGACCGACCAGTTTTAGCTTCTGAATGCTCAGCGCTAGTGTTGTTAATGATAAAAAGTTGAATTAAGACATCTTGGCGGTCATCAATCTTTACTAGATGCATGCGTCATACTCGTATTCAGTTGGCAAAACATTATCTGTAGCGATGTTTTACTTTCGTAACAAGTTTAGATGGAGTGGAATCCGTTTCCCTACCGTTTAAATCTAACGCAGAGAAAGAAATAAAGATAAACAACAATAAAATGCTATACGTAAGGAATCTCTTGTCTAAGGTCGAGTTACTCAAAACTAAATGGTTTTCAAATTTGGTATTAGTGATTTATAAAAGGTGGGTTGAGTGAAGTCTGCATCACTTTCCACAAACCACATTTAGTCAAAATAGGTACTTTTAAGTCAAAAGCAGAAAAAGTTGGTAAATTATGCATTTAGGCAAACCTAACCCTTCTCAAAATCGAATAATCGTATAGAAATATTTTGGTCCTGTCCCTGTTTATCATTGATCTGTGTGTTCTTTTATAAAGGAAGGGTCTGTGACATGAATAATTACAATACTTTACTATTTACGATCGTTGTTGGTAGTAAGCCGATTGACTATTAGTCTATAGCAAAAATTGACGCATTGGGAATAATTCATACAACTTCTAAGCTAAAAGCTATTAATAATGTATTAGTCATGTGATCACATTTGCAAATATGTTGAGGTGCTCAATGCTTCTAATCAATACACTATTCGATTTACTTTGGATAATAGGTTACTAACCTCCAATGCAACATTTAGTTCACTTTTGTTAATAGTTTACATATGTTCTCTCCAGTCAATGCAATCTTGTTTTCACTTTGGATAATAGGTTGCTGATGCTCGCTTTAGTCAATAAGTGTTAGGTTCTCTTTTGATAATATATTACCGATGCTCTCTATAGTCTATGCAATATTTGGTTTCCTTTCGATAATTTGTTACTGATACTCTATCTAGTCAATGCAATCTTTGGTTTCCTTTCGATAACGGTTACTGATACTCTAACTAGTCAATGCAATTTTTGGTGTCATTTAGATAATCGTTACTGATACTCTATCTAGTCAATGCAATATTTGGTTTCTCTTCGATAATGGGTTACTGATACTCTATCTAGTCAATGCAATCTTTGGTTTCCTCTAGATAATGGTTACTGATACTCTATCTAGTCAATGCAATTTTTGCTTTCATTTCGATAATCGTTACTGATACTCTATCTAGTCAATGCAATCTTTGGTTTCCTTTCGATAATGGTTACTGATACTCTGTCTAGTCAATGCAATCTTTGGTTCCCTTTCGATAATGGTTACTGATACTCTCTCTAGTCAATATAATATTTGGTTCACTTTCACTCCAATAGCTGATGTGACTGAAGGTGACTTACATGACTTTATTTTTTTCCAAATTATTGGATATGTGTTCTAGTGGGATTTTGATCACAATATGGCAAATCTGACAATTTAATCGTTTTGAGGAGAATACTACCAGTTCTAGAATCAGGAACTATTACCAAAAATGTTCGCAGTGCAAACCTTGAAATGCCCTCTATGTAACAGTCCAATGCAACGTTTGCAAAGATGCCAAAGCTTTGATCTTTGCATAGGAAATTGTAGGCTTAGAGAAGATACACATGTTGGTATTAATACAGAAAAATAGTTATTTATTACGTCAGCATAGCTACAAGATAGAACATGATTTGATGTCGCATAATGCGCTGACAGATTAAGGTCTATCTTGTTTACTCCACCAACTACTCATAGCAAACTGCAGAGACTCTGATTTTCCGACGCCATTCTGTAACGGCTGTTTAAATTTGGACTCGATTTACAAGCGATTATAGATGGCATTCAAAATCCTGTATTTATGCATAATTGGCATTAATCCTGTTGTAGATGCTAAGTCACTGTAAAGTCCCAATGGCATTCTACCAACAGGTCTATCAAGGAGGTTGTAGATAAACTGTATGATATGGTTGTAATATTGTTATTACTGTCGATATTATTGCATTTACATAAAATTTCATACTTAAAGATGTTGTTAAAAATGGCTTATATGTTGTTAACTTTTTGGAGGAAAGTAATATTACGGCTAGAATGGTGTGCGTGTGTGTTTCTGTGTTATTTGGATTTTTAACGTAGCTTTAATAATTTTCAGCCATATCACTACGATGTCTGCAGTGTGACAGTTTATAGTGATGTCAAGCACTTGAGCATCATGTTGCAGACATGTAACATAATACCTCACGCACTCACATTATCCAGACACCAGACCGACCAGTACTAACACTAACTAGAGGTTCGTACCATTTTTATTAGCTTTTGGCATGACTTGGCGGGGGTTCGAACCCGCAACATCTCGCATCCGGGGCGGACGCTATAACCTGTAAGCCACCGGCTTCAAAGGATTATTTCTATAAGGATGCTGTTGTAAGCTTTTATGTATATCTATACCGTGTGCTTAATGTTTGTCCTTAATTCAAAGTTTTGAAGTTTTTGTCAATCTAACCGTTGTCATGATTCTAAGCAGTAAACAATTGAGTCTGAGATCCGCCATATTGACAGTTATACTTAGTTCTCCATCGGAAATCAACTGAGTCGTAGGTCAAGTGGGTATTTTTACATATAGAGTTTTGGTAAATAATTATTGATTCCTGTTAGCTATCTGTCTTTGGTAATCATTGATTAGAGTTAACATTTGTATTCAGATATAATCGAAGAGGAATTAAGTATTTAAATTATTCATTGGAAGTGCATCTGCTCATTTATTTTTTACACTAAAACACTACTTTGGGATTGTTGGGAACTCACTCAAATACATTTTGTATTGTATCGTCTTGGTACATCAAAACCTTTAAGACTATTGGAATACATTTGGAACATTCTGTACTTTTGGGCTTGTGATAGGACATTCATGATTGTTTTGAATTTAATTCACAATACTGAACGTCTCTTAAAATATCCACTATATAAACTTAGATAAATGAGCTATTTGTTGCGTTTACTAAACATGTTGGTTTGTGCTTCTTTCTGTTACTTAGTTTGAGACTTAGAATCGTGACATTAGCTTAAACCTTGCAAGAAATCTAAAGCATGGTGTTCAGGAACTATTAAAAGCCCATGATACTTTTGTTCACCACCGTCCGGAATATTGGGTAGTATTAAAAGAGTTTTATTAGTCAATTACCTGACAATTCCAAAGTACAGATGATCCAAGAGCGTATCTGAAAGTAATATCAAATCACCTGTAAATTTGTATTATCAAGCTGCAAGCAAAGATGTTGCGCTACATTAGAGTGTCCCCGCTGCATATAGTCTGCTGTTATACTTTTATGCATTCATTTATACTAGCATATCCTATGTGGGGTATTTAGTGTGCTAACATTTTTTGCATGTGGTAACATAGCAATGCGGGTTTTTTTAGAGTACTAACATAGCCATGTGTTATGTTTAGTGTACTAACATAACCATGTGTAGTGTTTAGTGTACCAACACAGACATGTGTGAAGTCTTTAGTGTACTAACATAGACATGTGTAGTGTGTAGTGTACTAACACAGACCTGTGTAGTGTTTAGTGTACCAACACAGACATGTGTGAAGTCTTTAGTGTACTAACATAGAAAAATGTAGTGTGTAATGTACTAACAGAGACATGTGTAGGGTCTTTAGTGTACTAACATAGATACGTGTACTGTGTAGTGTACTAGCATAGACATGTGTAGTGTTTAGTGTACTAGCATAGCCATGTGTGGAGTATTTAGTTTACTAACATAGACATTGTAGTGTTTAGTGTACTAACATAGACATGTGTGGTGTTTAGAGTACTAACACAGCCATGTGTGGAGTATTTAGTGTACTAACATAGACATATGTAGTGTGTAGTGTACTAACACAGACATGTGTGGAGTTTTTAGTGTGCTAACATAGATATGAGTAGTGTGTAGTGTACTACCTAACATAGACATGTGTAGTGTTTAGTGTACTGAGACAGCCATGTGTGGAGTCTTTAGTGTACTAACATGTGTGGAGTCTTTAGTGTACTAACATATACATGAATAGTGTGTAATGTACTAACATAGACATGTGCAGTGATTAGTGTACTAAAACAGCCATGTGTGGAGTTTTTAGTGTACTAATATAGACATGTATAGTGTGTAGTGTACAAACATAGACATGTGGAGTGTTTAGTGTACTAACACAGCCATGTATGGGGTCTTTCGTGTACTAACGTAGACACGTGTAGTGTTTAGTGTACTAACATAGAAATGTGTGGAGTTTTTAATGTATTAACACAGTCATATATAGTGTTTAGTGTACTAACACTGCAATGTACAGTGTGTAGTCTACTAACATAGCTATGTGTGTGGTCTTTAGTGTACTACACAGCCATGTGTAGTTTTTAGTGTGCTAACACTGCCATGTGTGGAGTCTTTAGTGTACTAAAACAGCCATGTGTAGTGTATATTCTACTAACATAGATGTGTGTGTGTGTGTGGTCTTTAGTGTACTAACACAGCCATGTGTAGTGTTTAATGTGCTAAAACTGACATGTGTGGAATTTTTATTGTACTAACACATCCATGTGTGGAGTCTTTAGTGTACTAATATAGACATATGTAGAGTCTTTAGTGTACTAACACACCCAATTTGGGTCTTTAGTTTATGTACTTGCCTGGGTGTGGTGTCTTTACTGTAGTAACATACGACATGTGGTGTCTATATTGTACTAACATGTGGGGTGCTTAGTGTACTTACATGCTCCAGGTGGTATCTTTCTTTTATATTAGCATGCCGTATGTGCGGTTTTTAGTGTATTATCCAAGCGGTGTCATTTGTCTATATACTTGCCCTATGTGTGGTATTTATTATACTAATATTCTCATGTAGGGGCTTCGGTGTACTAACATGTCTCATGTGGTGTCTTTATTGTACAAACATGTCCTATGTGGTTTATTCATTGCACAGACATGTCACATATGACGTCTTCTATGCACTGACATGTCACATCTGGTTTATCCAGTGTACTAACATGCCCATGATGTGTCTTCAGTGTATAAGCATGTCTAATATGGTATTTTTCGTGTACACACATGTGGTGACTTTACTGTACAGACATGTCATATGTGGTGACTGTAGTGTACATATATGGTGTCTTTAGTATAATAACATGTCCCATGTGGTGTCTTTATTATAATGATCTGCCTAATATGGTGTCTTTAGCGTAGTAACATGTTCCATGTGGTGTGTGTTTGTGTTTTAACATGTCCTATGTTGTGACGTTTGTGCACAAACATATTCCATATTTTGTCTCTAGTATAAACATGCCCTATATATTTATGGTGTACAAACACTCCACTTGTGGTGTCTTTATTGTACTAACATGTTCCATGTGGTGTCGTTTTTATATCCCATGTGGTGTCGTTAGTACAGTAATATATGCCCAACGTGTGTTCTTTAGCGTACTCAAATGCACCATATATGGTCTTTAGTGCATAAACACACGCTGTGTTGGGTCTTTAGTTCACTAAGATGTCACAGATGGTGTTAATAGGGTACAAGCTTACCCAGTCTGTGTTCTTTTGTGTACTTACCTGCCCAAGTTGGTGGTGTTTTTAGTGTACTAACATGACCTGGCCTTTCGTGTATTAGCATACCCCAGCTTATGTTTTTAGTATGCATGCATGCTCCATGTGGTATGTACCGTACTAATATACCCTATGTGGGGTTTGTACTGTACGAACATGAAACATTTTTGGTTTTTGTGTACTGACATGTCTCAAGTGGTTTCTTAAGTTTACAAACATGTCCGTGTGGTGTCTTTAGTGTCCTAACATGCCCATGTTTGAATGTATACATTCATGTCCCATATAGTGTCTTTAGTATACTAACATGCCCCAGGATGTGTCTTTAGTGTTCAAACATGTTCCATATGGTGGCTTTAGTGTACAAGAAAGTTACATTTGGTATCTGTAATGTAAAAACATGTCCTATGCTGTGTCTTAAGCATTAAAATATGTCGCATATAGTGTCTTTAGTGTACTAAAATGTACCATATGTTGTCTTTAGTATAAAAACATGTCACAGGTGATGTCTTTAGTTTACTAACGTGACTTTACTGTACAAACATGTCACAAATGGTTTCTTTTGTGTATAAACACGTCAAACATGGAGTCTTTAGTGTACAGACAAGTTTCATGGTATGTCTATGGTGAACAAATACTCCCCTCGTGGTGTCTTTACTTTATCTAAAACGGGTATACTAAACTCGTACTGGCTAAAAACGTCAATAACGTTAAGCAAGTGTTTCCTTGAAGTGCCATCAGCGCCAACGTTGAACTGACAAAGATTTGAGATATCTACTAAACATATTGCCCAGATATCATCTATAGCATTTGCGATAACCATGCATTTTGGAAACATTATTTTTAGGTTTGCGTAATTCAGCAACAAGATCGTCATATAATTTTCTACCAAGTCAAGATCCTCGGAGTCGGGGCTGTCCAAGTCCAGGTTTTTATTTCGTTCCTATCATTCTTTTAACAAACCCTCTATCAAATCTATCTCTCATATTTACAGGTTTCATATCATGTACTTCAACTAACATTACCTTATCACAGTCTGATTTTGAGCTCTCTGCACGAACGTTATCATTACGCTCTATATCACGATCATATATATCATGAAGTTTAATATACATTATGATGCATTGCTATTGCGTCAACTTGATTAAAAATCTCTTGTCCTTGTAATGGATTATCGTTTTCGTCCAACTGTTGTCTAGTGGATTGTAAAACCCATTTTATTTGTAGTCTGGCAATGTCCATCGCCATTTAGTTTCGGTAATTTCCCAATAAATTTATGTATGTCAACAGCGTTGCCATTTACTTCACGGCGATTGCATGATTGAGAGTACGTGACAATTTTGTCATGTTCGATGGAAATATTTTTATCACAATTATAATTGCATTTCATTTTATTTTATATTTTAATCGTTTATAAATTTTAAAAGATATATCATCACCAGCGTTAAGCTCAACACAAAGTTTACTATTGTACTCGCTCAATAACCTTTTATTATCCTGTTGTGGGTAATTTATATATTACGACACATTGATCCTAATTAAAATCATCACTATGACAGCAGATACGGTGTTAATTATAAAAGCATTTTCCAATGCATTTCTACGCAATATATTATATAATGATACTCTGGAAGTTTCCAGTTCGTTATTATCTTTATGTTTAATTAATCGTTCGGTGTCAAAATTTCATATCATTGACTTTTTTATTGTTGCTATATAATTTTATGTTATACAATTTACATAGCATTGCATATTACATAAATTTCGGAACAACACTTACAGAATCTATTTCCACTGAAGAACCAATAATAAC